GTGTGTGCTTGTTTGTGCACACACACATGTGCACGGGAGTGGGACAATCAGAGAGAGCAAGTGTGTGTTTGTATTCGTGATGTTAAGGTTGTGCTGTGATTATGAATTATGTGCATTTGTGCTCTGTGTGCATGGTTTTATATTTGTGGGATGTACATATTGCTTTAAGCTAGTGAGTTCTAGGTAATTCATTATTTATGATATATGCATATTTTGGTACATTGAACATATAAATAAAATTTCAACTTATGAAAAATTTTTACCAGTTCCTTCCACAAAGGATTTGAAGTATCTTATAAAAATCATCATGGTACATCAATAAAAAAATAAATAAATGAGATAATTGGAGCAAAGGGAAAGCAAGGGTAGGAGAAAATAAAAGAGGCCGGGGTGAGATAAGAATATGTTTCATAAGTTTTGGGGTGTGTGCAAGAGTTGGGCCAACATATTGGCTTTGAGTGTCTTAGCAACCGTTGCAAAGAGGGAAACATAATCAAGTTACTTGGTTCTGGGATGGTCCTTAAGATAAAGACCAACCCATAATTCCAAAGAAGCACTGCTGTTCACTAGCAACTATAGAGCAGACTACATGCTGAATCTGACAATGTCGTTAGTATCAAACATGCTCACAGCAACTACCACACTGAACATCGTAGGCTGTGTCTTTCAGTTTCTCTCTGTGTAAACTGATGCTTTGTCACCAAAATATAATTCACAATAAAAGTAATTGTACGGAGAGATGAGACAATGTGGTTTCAGCATCCAGCTCAGTGATGCTCTGATTTTTCCAAGGTTAAAGCACCTTGATCCTTGTGCTCCATTGAGACCTAGGAGCCTCAGGTGTGTCTCAGTGGCCCCATAGCAGGATACCTGCTTACACTTGCTTGTAACATCAGCTTTTCTTTCTTTTTTTTTTTTACTCTTCTTTTCTATGTTGGGATTCAATGTAGGATCACCTTAGGGAAGTCTTCCTCTAGAAGAATGAGTGTACTCCTTAGCTTTTAGCCAGTCCCCCTAAGTATTTCCCACAACCTAGGTTGTTGTAAGTTTTGAGGAGTAGGGAGTTTAAAGTTACATTCTCTCCCAGTATCTGAAGTACAGATATGTGGGCTGGTAGGTGGGTAAACTGTGTAACATACAAGTGTGAATTGTGTGTTGTACATATTTGTGTTCTGTGTATTGGGAATAGCTGCATAGGAGGGTATCCTATGCATCTTTCTCCCCTCTCCTATTCTCCAATGTGACCTGGAAAAGAAATTAAGTAGGTACTTAATAAATAGAGAGGTTGGGTGATTTGGCTCTTGCCAGAGGTTCTCAGGGACCAGAACGTGCTTCCACCCATTCCCATTGCTCACGGAACAGTAAGCATGTGGTGAAGCCCACATGTGGGTGACCTCAGGCTATCTCTTTATGCCTTCAAGCTGCTGTCCCCAAGACTCCCAACACTCTTCCTGGACCAACTATGGCCCATCTGTTTGGAATGCTTTTTTCTACTCACCTACCCTCATGCAGCTATTGAACCCCTACTCACCTTTCAAAACAGCTCATGCTTAGCTCATCTTCTGTGAAACCTTTTCTGTACTCCTCTCGTTCTTTACTTTGTGCTCCCCCCCAACTTAATGTACCCCATACATGCAACAGTCACAGTACCCATCACACTTGGGTGTAACTTGTTTCCTTGTTTGTCTCCCAAAAGCTCCATGAGGACAGGAAATGAATCTTGTTTCTCTTTACACCCACAGTGCCTGGCAGATGGCCTGGCATTGAGTAAACATTGCAAAAATATGTTTTGATTAAAATTTTATGATGTCAAGTATTTGGCTATTTCATTTTACTTCAATCCAATTATGGCTTCCTGACCTCCTATTCTATGCCAAGTACTGTGCGGTGAACTAGGGTATGTTCCCTGCTCTGAGACGGGCACAATGATATGCTAAGTGATCAGTGTTGTGATAGAGGGAGATGCCAGGCGTGTGGGACCACAGAGGAGACACCTATTCAGTTGGGATCAGAGAACATGATACTCACGCTTGGGTCTTGAAGACAAGTAGGAAGAGCCAAGTGAAGAAGAAAGATAAAAATATTCAAGGCAGGGGGAATAACACTAACAAAGGCAAGGAACAAAACTGTGTGTTTAGGGAACCATAATTCATTGGATTGTGTGAGTCTAGAGTAGTGTTTCCAAAGAGAGAGACTCGTGTTGCTGGAAGTGTGCAAGATGATTTTATGTATATATTTTGATGTGTATTGGAAAAAATATAATCAGCATTTCAAGCCCTTAAAGTTAAATAAGTTTTAAAAAAGTGAGTTAATTTTATATTAGGAAAAAATACAGCCAGCATGCCAAGCCCTTATGACTAAGATTTTTAAAAGGCAAGTTAGTTAAACATTTATTGAGTATTTACCATGTGCCAAGCACTACTCTAAGTGTTTTAAAGTATTGCTTACTTAATTTTTTCTTTTCTTTTCTTTTTTAACATTTTTTATTGATTTATAATCATTTTACAATGTGTCAAATTTCAGTGTAGAACACAATTTTTCAATTATACTTGAACATATATATAATTCATTGTCACATTTTTTTCTCTGTGAGCTACCATAAGATCTTGGATATATTTCCCTGTGCTGTACAGTATAATCTTGTTTATCTATTCTCCCCTAGAACCTGATAAGATATGTACTTTTCTTATACCCAAGTTGTTCTTTAACAGATGAGAAAACTGAGGCACAGAGAAGTTGACTAACTTGCTTAATGTCACACAGCTAATACCAGGTAGAGTCAGAATTTGAACTCAAGCAGTAGTCTGGCTGCAGAGCCTTTGCTCCTAACCACTTAACCTCACTATATAGCAAGTGTGTTAATAATAGCTGATGTATATTGAGTCAGGTACTATATGAAATGCTTTGCATTAATTATCTCATTTAATTCGGATTATAACCCCCCAAGGTGGGTCATGTCCAATACTCTGAAAAATGAGGTCCAGAGAGGTTAAATAACTTACTGAAGTTTACGTAGTTGGAACGTGGCGGAGTCAGTATAATTTTCTAATATAAATTTCTGATTTATGTAGAAAAACAGATGGAAGTGAGGCTAATTCTTAGTACAGGGTTCAGGGAGGCACCTGAAGAAGGCTTTAAAGAGTTGATTAAATTTGGGTAGGTCAGGGTAAGCCATCTCAGTCCTGCACAACTTCCAGAGATTTCCTCTACTGCTTAACAGAACTTGCCTATTTGCGCCTGTCTCTTCTTGCTAGACCTCGGTAGCAGCAGGGGTTATATTTGGTTCTTTTCATTATTCCAACTCCCAGCATAGCGTAGATATTCATTCATTCATACATTTATTCACTTATTCATTGGTAAGTATTTATTGAGCACATACTCTGAGCCAGGTTCTGTCTTGGCACTTGGGACATAAGGGTGAACAAAATAGTTATGATCATTACTATCATGGAGCTAATGGAGAAAGAGACATTAAACAAATAATTATACAAATAAATATGTAATTAAAAATTTTGTGAATGAGTGAATTTGTGGTATCTGAATTGCATCTCAATAAAGCTGTTAAAAAACTGTGATAAGTACTCCATGAATTAGGACTCTTGTTATAGCAAGTGATAAAATCCCAAATCAAACTAGCTTTAATTAAAAAAATAGAATTTATTAGCTCATGCAACTGGGAAGCTCACTAGAACCAGGACTCAACTGAACTCCATTTCTCAGCTTTGCTTGTCCCTTCAGCCTCCTTCTGTAGCCAGACTCTGAATGGGGAGTAAGACAGACGATGGTGGCTCCAAATTCATATCTTCCAATTTCTGCAAAAAGAGCATTCTCGCCCCTAACCACCATATAGTAATCTCAGGGAAGGCTATGACTGGCCACCTGGGAGTCTCCTGCCTATCCCAGTGGCTGGGGGAGGCAAGTATTGTAACCCATAGTCCCAACATGATTGTTTAAAGTAGCACTTCCATAAAGGAAGGAATGGTGGACAGATAAAAGTAACATAAGTCCACCACAAGTGCTATGAAGAAAGTCAAGAAGAGAGACCTAATTTTAGACTGGAGAGTCAAGATCTTCTGAGAAAGTAACACTTAAGCTGAGAACTAAAGGATGAGAAAAATATTAGTTAGGCAAAGACTGGAGGAGGGAGTTGTTGGGAAAGGGAGTGTTCTACATCAAGAATAGCCCTCATGTGGCTTAGAGCTTGAAACACTCATGAGATTGGAAGAAGGCCATGTCACAGAGACTAAATAACCAAGGGGAGAGTAGTATGAGATGAGGGTGGAGAGGTAGGCAGGGGCCAGGTCATACAGGATCTTGCAGGCTGTGTCAAGAATTTTGCAAGAAAAACAAAAACAAAAAGAATTTTGCAAGGATGTGATCAGATCTGGAAGAGGATGCTCAGCATTTCTCACCCTCTGCTATGCCAGCTATTAAGTTTCAGTCATCTGTTTGCCAGTGCCGTAGGGCCCTTCTCTGCTTTATGGGATTGCTCTTCAAGACTCTCTTTCTTTTAGCATTTCTCAGCTTTCTCATCCAAGACTATTGATATGGCCGGCAACTAGCATTTATTAAAGCTTTGAGTAGCAGCAGGCCTTCTACATCCTCAAAGTTCCTGGGACATGGGTGAGGCTGTAGTTTTTCTCAAAAGCTTGCCACTGTTTCTCTTCAACTTTCCATCCTCAGTCACAGTGTTATTGAGATTTCTTAGATTATAACCCAAATCAGGAGCTTAAATAATAAAGGTTTATTTTTCACTCACATTACATGCCAGCTACAAGTCAGCTGCAAGCCTGTTCCATGTGTCTTCTTACTCTGGGATCCAATTTGGGATGCCTAAACCACACAAAGGGCTCTCAAAGCTTCTCTTGGGACTTGGAATGCCCACATCAATTGGCCAAAGCAAGTTGCATGATCAAATCTGTTGCTGATGGAGAGGGAAAATATATTCTTCCCACAAGGAGGCACTGCAAGCCACTT